CAGGCAACACTATGCTAGTGTGTGTCTGTGTGTCTGTGTCTGTGTGTAATAACTAACCCTGTAAAAGATTCAAAAGATCTTGACAGACTTGAACATTGGACCCCATCAAATAAAATGCAATTCAGTAGTAGGAAAAGTAAGGTCTTACCCTTTGACAAGAAAAATCAAATACACAGGTATAAAATAGTAATACTTGGTTCAATCGCAATCACAGCCAATGCACCTGAGTGTAAGACAAGAAGAAATGGATAGAAGTTTAACAAAAAAGAGCTCCAACCTAGAATTAATGAAAAATTTCTTGACAGTGAGAACAATTAATCAATGGAACGGCTTGTCTCCAGAAATTGTGGGTGCTCCACTATTGGAGTCTTTAAAGAAGAGATTGGACAAGCATTTGCCCAGAATGGTATAGGGTCTCTTTTTCAAGCAGCAGGTTGGACTAGAAAACCTCCAAGGTCCCTTCCAAATCTGATATTCTATGATTCTATCCCAAGGGGAATTCATGTTAAATGTTTCACAGATTGATTGACATTTATTTATCACATTTATATAGGTGTCCATCTCGTGTAGTGTCTTATAGGTAACTCCATCCATTATANCGTTGCTGTTAATGGCCTTCCTCCTCCTCCTCCTCCGGGGGCGGCAGAGACTGGGCCTTCGGGCAGCCCCGCCCTCGCAGCCTGGCGCAAGCGGTGCCCCAGGACTCTTCCCCCCTCCTCCTCCTCCTCCCTCCCCGCGTGCCGTTATTTAAAGGAGCTCCCGCCGTCTTCTCGATCAGGAGGCACCTTAAACCTCAACCGTGCCAAGAACGGGGATGGGACGGACGAAGGTTACGCCCGGATTCTGCCCATCCTAAAAGTTTGTTTTTTCTTCCTGCCTCCACCCCCTCCTCTTGAAGAGCATCTAGTAGACAAGGAAGACTTGGCCTACAGAGGGGACTTCAACGTTTTGTACATAATGTATATGGGCTTTGAACCAGCTGCACCCCCTCGCTTCGGGCTTCTGCCTTTTCTGACTCCGCCAATCATGAATTGTTCAGAACTCTTCTTTTTTTTGTCGTTTGTCTGTTTTTGTTTACTTGCTTTTTTTCTCTCTCTCTCTCCCTCTCCAGAAACACAGTCCAATAATAACCTTACAAACTCGGGGCTCTCGTTAGCAGACCATTATTCTTCAGTCTTCATGAGCCTTTTAAACGAGGATGGATCCTTGGCGATCCATCTTTTGAAATCCCTTTTTTTTCCCCCTCCCTAAACTCTGGAATCATTGGACATTCCCCCGGGAGTTGTTTTGCGTTTCTCCGCCCATCAATTCCCTCCTTTCCAGAGAAGGGTAACGATCCCGCTTTCAAACCTTCCGTGGCAGAGGGGGGGGAAAAATTAGGATCAAAACTCAACATTGCCCTTCTGATAGTATTCCTGTCTTTATTCTAAGACTTCAAGAACGAAAATCACCTTTTTTTTTTTTAAATAAGTGTCTCGTTTTGTATCAGGTATGAAGTGTGAACAGAGAAATGTGCTTCTGATGGGATCAATTCTTCTTCCTTTTGCCCTCCCCTTAATTTTTTTTCCCCCCCGTTCAAAAGCTGGAGAATTTGGGAACGAATAGCTGGATGGTTTTCGTCAGTTCGAACAAAACCTGCGTCTCGATTCCGATTCTAGCTGCTGAAGAGCCGAATAGTTGTTCTGATTAGGTTAAAACAAGGTATAGAATAGGAGCTTCTACCCACCATATAATCACCAGCTTTTAATTTGATGCCCGACAAGAGCATATCAAGAGGGCAAAAAAGCCACCCGGTCCTCAAATCACTCGGGCGTCTCCCCCGTTATGGTCCTGACGATGACCAGGATCATGTTCGGTGTCGATCCTTGGACTTAAAATATTTGCCGGAAAGGCTCAGCAAAAACCCGGGTATTTATCGTCCGGCTGTTCTTTGGACAGGAAGTAGCAAGAGCCATCCCGCTGAAAGAAAAAAACGGGGGGGAAAAAACGACGAGTTTCCCCCTTAGCCGAAGGGAATCGTCTTCCTCTTCCGCCTGGTTCGCTGTGGACTTTTAAGATACTTCCAGCCTCCTCGGGGACAGTTCGGGCCCTGAGCAACTCTTGATTTAGAAGGAACACCAGCAACGACGGAAGCCCGTCAAGAGGAACGAGAAGGGGGTGGGGGAGGTTTGGACGCCGGCTGGGCAGTGGCGGCTAGAAGCATCGGGGGCAATTCTCGCCGGCGGGCATTTTCTCAACAACGCAGCTGTGTGTAGTGAACAAGCAAGGGCACGGAGGGCTATTTGCTAAGCCTGGGAACCCCACGTTCTGCCTCGGAAGGGTGGCGGGCTTCCCAAGGCAACAATCCCCTCCGGGCCTGTCCGCCCCGGGGGGTGGGGGTGGGCTGCTACATAACCTCCAGATGTTGTGAGTGCGGTGGACGGTGCACAGGGTTGGGGGAGGGAAAGGGGAAGGGGCCGCACCTTAGCAGTGCTAATGTCGAAAGTGAAATGTCTTAACTGGTTTGCTTTAGATGATTTCTGTATATGGGAACTTTCTAATTAACGCTTTTTAAATAATTAAGAAGGAAAAAAAAAAACAACTAAAAATAAAGGTGCCAAGCTTCCACAGTTTCCTCCCGGGCTCCGGTTTTTGCTTCTCCTCGCCTCCGGCGGTCGAAACCACTGGCAGGACCCCCATGCCCCCCCCCCCAAAGAAAAATCCGATACTTGGGAAGTGGGAGCTCCTTTCCGGAAGGAGTTTGTTTGCCCACTATGGTTTCCTGCCCAAAAAGCAGGCCACGGGTGTTTAATTTCCAAGCACCACAAAACCGCGGTAGACAAAAGCGTGCTCGACGAAAGCGCGTACNCCCCTTCCCAGTTTTTGTGTGAGCCGCCCTGAGTCCCCTCAGGGAAAAGGGCGGCCTACAAATTCTAATAAAATTCTAAATTCTAAATTCCCTGCCCTATACCCTTTCAGACAAGCGGCTCCCCCTGCCTCTTCTTAAAAACCTCCAGTAACGAAGCATCTTCAACTTCTGAAGTCAAGCTGATCTTCGCAGTTTCCACGGACTGAAGAACTCCGCAGTCTCCAGGCACTGAGACCCTGATAAAATTGCTTCCAGGCTTCCCCTTATTAAAAACAATTGCCGCTGCATTTCATTTTGTGCCTCTCCCGTTTCAATGGGAAATGAAAAAGGAAAGGTAATTTTAAATGTAACTTGTAAATATAGATGCAACGTCTGTTCCTGATTCAGTGGGAAAATGTGACTGTAATAAATGGTGCTCCTCAAATATTAAAGAACTGAACCAAGTTCAAGCAGGATTGTAGAAACCTCTTCCTTAACAAATGCAATTTGTTCTATTACATTCCCGTCCCACTTAGATTTGTTGCTTCGCTACTTAGTGAGGGATGGAGAACTCTCTGAAACTCTTTCCGCTGAAGGTCAGCAAGATTTGTTTGGCTGTTAAATCAACAGAGATGTAAAGTCGAAGAGAGTCATTTTAAATAATACAAGGCATCATCTCTTTCCTGTCATCAGAGAAAATGGATGCTCTTCAAAGTGTTATTATCTCTTTTAGAGCAGGTAAAGTAACAACCTCTTTGGCATAATAATGAAAGCTTTAGATTTGGTGTCTATAGGATAAAAATAGATGCATTTAAGCCAATGGATTTTTCACAGGCTTCACTATATTAAATGTGGGCTGGCTGAGTGAAGACCTAATTCCTAATGACCGGAAGGCAGGCTTTGAATCTATTATATCTATTTTTGAAAAAATCATGCGAAGTTGTGAATTGACTAAAAGACATTTAAGGCAAACTTGGTAGAAAACCTGGTGCACAGGTGTCAGAAATCCGGACCTCACCCACTCTCATGGCGTTCAGAAAAGCTGTCAAGACCTGGCTTTTCCAGCAGGCCTGGGGCTGTTGACCTCATTGTTGAGGTCCAGCCCCAACTGAAATGAATGTATTTGTGTTGTTTTAACTTGTCTTATTTTCTTTTTATTTTCTTTTATTTTCTTTATTTTCTCTTCTGTAAGCCGCCCGGAGTCCTTTGGGATTGGGCGGCCTATAAATAAAATTAAACCTTAAACCTTAAACCTTAAACCTTAATATAACTAATAAGATTTAAATAAATTACAGCGGGATTGTTATAATATTAGATACTTAAGATATTGGAAATTAAGCTAGGATGAGATTAAATAATGAATAAGATTGTATATTTTATTGTTGTCACAAAATATTTATACCCAGATGACACACTGGTTAATGGAAAATGGATTGTTTATATAAAAAAATAAAATAAAAAAATATTTTTAAAAAGGGATTTGTTCCAGAGGTCCTATGGGTCAGGCAGTGTGGTGTCTTTTAAGTTTCCCTCTTTCTTTCCTATCAGAGGAAACAGAAGAAATGAAATTCTTTGCTTTTTTAGAGTGTTAAATTTATATTTATTTATATTTGGGCAGTCCAGGTTGCCTTGATTTAAAAAAAAACACTTTGTTTTTTAGACTTTTTGTCCAGTGGCGTATTGCAGAAAGCAAGCAAACCATCGCAAAATACAAATACTCGGTTCAGGAATTACCATGGAGCCCCCAAATTTTCTGTTGCTAAGCAAAACAGACGTTAAAGGGAATTTTGCCCCTATTTTGCGACCTCTCTCGCCACAGCTGGTAAGAGAATCCCTGCAGTCGTTACGATAGTAACACGGTTGTTAAGTGAATCTGGCTTTTCCCCGTCGGCTTTTCAAAAAGTCGCAAAAGGGGATCACACGGCTCAGTCCGCAACCGTCATAAATATGAGTCAGTTGCCTAGATTTTGGTAGCATCCATGGGGGAACGCTGCAATGGTTGTAAGTGTGAAAAAGGGTCATAAGTCACTTTTTTTTCAGTGCCGTTGTGGCACTCAATGAACTGTTGTAACTCAAGGAATACCTGTACAAGCATGGCCAATTTAGGACTTGGTTCAAGGCTAACGGGCTTTATTACAAGTGCAGCTAAAAAGATACAGCAGAACTGCCACCGTATGGCTGAGCTCACTTAAAAATCTGCTGCGATTACAACACAATAATTTCCACCTACTATTTTCTGCCGTTGAGTCAGTTGCTCGAATTCCTTCTCCTTTTCCACAAGTTTTTGTTCCAGTTCCTGCTGTCGGGACTGGAACCTCTCAGCGCCCTGCAAATTTGGGAAAGAAGTTTAAACAATTAGTCCCTTTTAATAATTGAACAATACAGCCCAAAGATGGGACAAGCATTTCGTATTGACTCGTCAGTACCTACATTACAATAACACGGTTGAAAATCAGCCTCAAATATAAGATCTAGCAAGAGCATTAAGCATATAATATATGCGGGAAATTATCTCTCTGTCTATAACTATATTACCTATATCTATATCTAATCTATCTCTATCTCCTATCTATCTATCTATCTATCTATCTATCTATCTATCTATCTATCTATCTATCTATCTATCTATCTATCTATCTATC